GGGCCAGAGTCCAAGAGAAAGAGGAGGGACAGAGACCCAGAGAGAGAGAGAGAGACCCCGAGACAGGGGGGAGATGGGCGTTGGAGTCCAGGACAGCCCTGTGGCCAGGCCTTCACCCCTCCCCAGAGTTGTTTTCAGGGGAAAGCTGACACTTGTCTTGGAGGTGGGGGGGTGGGAAGGGATCCCATACCCCTCCCTCCACCTAAATATAGCATGGCAAGGTGGCAGGAGGGGTGTCCCCCGACGAGGGTGTCCCCTCTCCTCTTGCCCATCACAGCCAGGGTGACACAGAAGGCGGCCGCGGTTGTTTATTGGGGTGGGGGAGGGGCGCTTCCCAGGCTTTGGGTGTCCACTGGAGTCACCTCCCTGACTCATCACACACACACACACACACACACACCCCGCCCAGCACCCCGCCTGTGCCAGGCCTACCCCAGGGCCTCCAGGTAACTCCGGGTCTCGGGTTGGGGAGCACGGAAGAGCAACGGGGGAACTAGCAGAGGAGGAACTGGGCAGAAGTCTCTGCCCCCCCATCTGTCTCTGTTCCCCTCCGCCTCTCTGGCTCCTGTCCCCCTCTCTGGATCTGTCCCTCTCGCTCTGGGTCTCTGTCCTCCTCCTGGTCTCTGACCCCCCTCCCAGGCTCCTCCCTGTGGGGGTCACTCTTTGCCTCCGTCTCTGCCCCCTCTGCAGGTCTCGGCTCCTCTCTGCCCGTGTCTCCTTCCTCCCGGGTCTCTGTGCTGGACCCTGTGCCTGCCTCCAAGACTCTGTCGTGTCTGTCACCATGAGGGGGTCTGTCTCCGTTCCCGCCTCCAGATGTCCCTTTCTCGCCATTGCAGAGAGAAGTGACAACCTAAAGGTTATATTATTCCCGACCTTTATCACAAAATAAAAAAATAAAAATCAGTGGAAAAACAGGGTGACGATTAACAACAAAAAGGCAGTTGGGTTCAATCAGGGGGTCCAAACTGAATTTCTCAGCTGCATTCTGAGCTGTCAAGAGGGACTTCGTAAGAGGTGTGTTCCTTGCCCTGGCTGGTGTGGTTCAGTGGATTGAGCGTCAGTCTGCGGACTGAAGGGTCCCGGGTTCAATTCCAGTCAAGGGCACATGCCTGGGCTGCTGGCTCGATCCCCAGTGGGGGGCGTGCAGGAGGCAGCCCATCAATGATTCTCTCATCATTGATGTTTCTATCTCTCCTCCAGCTTTATCTAATCAGCTAAAGGCCTGAATAGAGCACAAAGGCTGACCTCCTCCTAGCAAAAAAGAATTGTGCAACCCATGGCCCTTGGACTTGAATTTCAACATTGGCATTTTCCTGGGTCTTCAGCCTGATGTGGCCCATTCTGCAAAGCTTGGATTTTGGACATGCCACCCTCCTTAATCACATGAGCCAATTCTTTATAATACATACACACACACTCCTCTATTGATTCTGTTTCTCTAAAGACCATCTCTCTCATTAATGCTAAGAATTGTCTCTGGAGCCCTAACGGGTTTGGCTCAGTGGATAGAGCGTCAGTCTGCGGACTGAAGGGTCCCGGGTTCAATTCCAGTCAAGGGCACATGCCTGGGCTGCTGGCTCGATCCCCAGTGGGGGGCGTGCAGGAGGCAGCCCATCAATGATTCTCTCATCATTGATGTTTCTATCTCTCCTCCCTTCCTCTCTGAAATCAATAAAAATTTATTTTCTTAAAAAAAGAGGTGTCTTCCCCTCAAACCAGTTCCCTTCTGATGCGTCACCCTGTTGCCTCTAAGTAAGGTTTCATTTAACAAAAAAAAGCTAAACAGAACAATGACAACAACAACACTCTGCAAACCACTGGATGGGTTTTAATAAATTAATATGGCATCGATTTAATAAATTGAATGACACCTGGTGCATAGGAAGCCCTATATGTGTTAGTGATTTAACCCTGCCCCCCCTCCTCCTCTCCCTTCTCCTCCTCCTCCTCCTCCTCCTCTTCCTCCTCCATCTCAAAATGCCCTTTAAGACGGAAAGACCTCTAAACATGTTCGGCCTCGTGACCTTGGGCAACACCCTCCCCTCTGAGCCTCAATTTCCTTGTTCATGAGGCTGTTTGGGCTCAGGAGGTCCTGTGCGTCCCAGCAGGCTGACAGGACACGTGGGGCCAGGCCGCCTGCCACCGGGCTGGCCCCAGGGACAGTGACGGGCGCCTGACCTTGGGAAGCTCTCCTGGGCTGAGACTGGCCTCTCCCTGCTTCCTGCTTTGTCTGAGGGCCTTCCTGGGCTGCGGGAAGATGGGGTGGTGTGCCCCGATGGGGATTCTCATCTCTGTCAGGCTCAGGGGCACCACTGCCTGTTCCCTCTTTGGTTCTGTCTCTGGGGTGCTCCGGTCTGCCTCCAGCTCTGGGTGTCTGTCCCTCTCTCTCTCTCTGGGCGCCTGACACCCCGCTGCGGGTCTCCATCCCCCCATTCTTGGCCGCTGTCTCCCTCTTCTTTGGATTGTGTCCCTCCCCCTTCCTCTGGGTCGTTGTCTCTGAGTCTCTGTTCCTCTCCTTTGTGTCCTCATCTCCTCTTCTCTGGGATTCTCTTTTCTGAGCCTCCATCCTTCCCCAGGTCTCTGTCCCCCTTCCTCTGGGTTCCTGTCCCCCCACCATGTATGGACAGAGTACGGGAACCTCCCCCCCCTTGTGGTTCTGATGTCTGGAAGCAGAACTGTAGGCGAAGACAGATAGTGAGGGGCTTTCAATGGCAAAATGAAGCAGGAGTGGGGCGAATGGGGGGAGTGTCCAGTTCAGTTGTCTCCCAGAGTCCACAGCGCCATTCCCTCCCTGAGGCGTGATTCCTCCTCAGTGCTGGCATCCTTGGGTGCCGGTGCTACCACCGAATCCCAAACAAACCCACATGGCCCCATGGAGTTCATACACACAGTCCGGCTCAACCCAGCACTCCCACCAGACTCACAGTGACACAGTCAATATAACTCAGCTCAGCATGGCCCCACGACCTGGTCCTACGAGACCCACCTGATTATGCGACTCAGTGTGGCTCAACTCCGTGGAGCCCTGAACACTTCCAGCCACACAACTCTACACGATTCAACCCAACAGAACCCGGAGAGACTCCTACAGTCGTCCGCTCCAACCCGACTTAACCTAACATGACCTAGAAAGCTCACATTCTATCACTTGACTCTTCTACATGACTCACAAGTTCACAGAACCGAAAATAACATAGCCCCAGAAGAATCACAAAGCCACACAATTTCCAACACGTCTCCACCCCACACCACCATGCATGGATGTGCGGAACCAGTCCCAACGATGCCCTGGGTGGGCACGTATCTTGACCCAACATGGCCCTAGGGGGGCCCATAAACTCACAGAATCCCACACAATGCGGTTGGACAAGGCTCACCCAGACTCACAACCCAACCCAACCCAACACAGAACAAAGAAACTCACAAAACTCTGTGGCCTCACAAATCTATCTCAACACTAGCCCGAGAGGCTCCACAGCCTTACAGAAACCAGCGCAGTACAAACCCATGCAGCATCCCCCTCAGCTCAGCGTAGCCCACTGCCGTTCATTGCTGCCTAAGGAGGTACCTACTGGAGTACCAAACCGCAACTCAAGAACCGATAAGGCTTAGTGTTCTTCAATGCATTACCATTTAACCTAGTTCTTCCTAGTCCCAACCCCTCCCCATGACTTCCCCTCCCCCCTCCCCGCCCTCCCTCCGAGGAAATGTGGGGTCTCGTAGGCTTCAACTGTCCCTCACACTTCGGTGACCATGTGTTTTCCAGGAGGGGGCCAGAGTGGAGGTGACAGCTCAGGCACCTCTCCATCCACCAATCCCCCATTGACCTTGCCCTCCAGGGGGCCACAGGGCTGCGTGTCCACATGGCTGTACATTCCGGCCTCTTCGCCCTCTGTCTCCCGGTGGTAAAAGTAGCTGAAGTTGGAGACAATGACTGGCACAGGCAGGGAGATGGTCAGCACGCCCGCGATGGCGCAGAGGGAGCCCACGATCTTGCCACCCACCGTGACGGGGGCCATGTCTCCATAGCCGACTGTCGTCATGGTGACCACGGCCCACCAGAAGGACTCAGGGATGCTGGTGAAATAGGAGTCTTCCCGGTCGACCTCGGCAAAGTAGACCGCGCTGGAGAAGAGGACCACGCCGATGAAGAGGAAGAAGATGAGGAGGCCGAGCTCGCGCATGGACGCCCGGAGCGTCTGGCCCAGGATCTGCAGGCCCTTCGAGTGCCGAGACAGCTTGAAGATGCGGAAGACGCGTACCAGCCGGATGACCCGCAGGATGGCTAAGGACATGGCCGGCTGGCCCACCCCCCGCTGCCGGGCCAGCTCGGTGCCCAGCGCCACAAAGTAGGGCAGGATGGCCACAAAATCAATGAGGTTCATCACGTTCTTGAAGAAGGCCGTCTTGCTCGGGCAGGCCAACAGGCGCACCAGCAGCTCGAAGGAGAACCAGCAGATGCACAAAGTCTCCACCACGAAGAACGGGTCATCGAAGGGTGTGCGGGGTGGGGGTCCGGGCACAGGGCTGGAGCCGTTCAGGCGAGAGGGGAACTGCAAGGAGGAAGGGGTTCAGGGAGGACCGCACCAGGGCTGGGACACACTGGAATGGCCATATTCGTTGTTTGTTTAAATACCCAACTATGTATCTACACATCGGTCAACAGTCGCTGCTCCCGGGCCAGCAGTGACCTGGCTGTCATAGACTCTCCCAGGACCCCGGGGTCGTGCCTGCCTGGCCGACTCTATGGCCCCTCATCCACTGCTGGGGCCTCCTGAAATGACGCGTGGCCCGGGCTCAACCTCTTCCCGTCCAAAGCCGGCTCCCAGCATGAATTCTCTAGTCGGGGAGGGTCCCTAAGCTGGCCCCACTCCCTTGGACCCTGCCCTCCCAAACCCAGCCCAGGCTATAATACTAGAATGGTCAAAGACTGTTCTGTCTGCCAAACCCCGGCTTTGTTTGTGATGGATTCCTCCTACCCTGGCCCTCAGGACCCTCCACACTGTCTCCAGCTACTTTCTTTCTTTTCCTTTCTTTCTTTCTTTCTTTCTTTCTTCTTTCTTTCTCTCTCTCTCCTTCCTTCCTTCCTTCCTTCCTTCCTTCCTTTTCGGTTTGTTAATCCTCACCAGAGGTTTGTGCCCTTGACTGGGAATCAGAAACGAACCCATGACCCTTCAGTTCTCTAACCACTGAGCTGCTTTCTTCAGGTCCGACTCTCACCACCTCCAGTCCATCCTTCCCATCGGTTACCACAGACCCCAGATTTTTCAGGCTCTCCCCTGCCCCCAGCCTTGATTTCTTAATATACCTGTACTCAGGTACTCCTGCCCTCCTCCGCAAGCCAGGTTTCTCACCTGCCTTAACCCTGCCTTCTGATAGGACGGGCCCATCTATCCCGATCCTCAGGTCCCGCCCCTACTGAGCACCCCTGCGCCCCTAGCTTTTCACGGTGGAGTCCCCTGACGGGCCTGTCCCCGGGCTGTTCTGTTCCTTAAAGCCCCTGGTCCCACCTGAACTTGGCCAGGTCCTCCTACCAGACCCCCGTGCCCCGCCCACAGACAGCCAGATCCCACCTTCCCAAGAGGCCACGCCCCCATGGCCCCGCACTCGCTTTCTGATAGGCCAGGGACCCACGGACCCCGCCCCTCTCCGCCGAGGCCCAGCCTCCATGGCCCTGGCCCCGCTTTCTGAT